CCTTAGGTGTATGTGGCTGGCGCCTCAGCCGCTTGAGCCACAGGCGCCGAGCCATATTATTTAGCATTTACTAGTTTCTTCCCTTCTCTACTTATTATGAAGCACATCTTCCAGATACTATATCATTTCATTCACATACTTAAATGTATGCATTCTTTTTACTCTTAAATCAGAAATTATTTTTCCATACTTGGTTTATATACTTTCTTTTTTAAAATTTTTTTATTTTTTGAGGCAGTGAGGCAGGGTCTTGCTTTGTTGCCTAGGCTGAAGTGTAATGGCCTTACACATAACTCACTGCAACCTCAAACTCCTGTGCTCAAGCCATCCTCCCGCCTCAGGCCCCCAAGTAACTGGGTGTGCCACCACTCCTGACTTTCTTTCTTTCTTTTTTTTTTTTTTTGTTTCTCTCTTTTTGAAATGGAATATCGCTCTGCTGTCTTGGATCGAGTGCTGGGGCATTGTAAATTAAATTCTTGGGCTCAGATGATCCTGTTGCCTTAGCTTCCTGAGTAGCTGGGACTATAGGCATGTACCATCGCGCCTGGCTGATTTTTCTATTTTTATTTGAGACAGGTTCTTGCAGTTGCTCAGGCTGTTCTTGAACTCCTGAGGTCAGGAGATTCACCCCTCATCCTTACAAAGTGCTAGGATTACAGGCAGGAGCCACTTCACTTGGCCTTTCTTGTGTGTTTTTTTTTTTTTTTTTGGTAGAGATGGAGTTTCATTCTTGCCCAGGCTGGTCTCAAACTCTTGACTTCAAGTGATCCTCCTACCTTGCCCTTACAAAGTGTTAGTAGTATAGGCATGAGCTACCATACCCCGCCAGTTTTATATAGCTTAAAGTATCGATGACAGAACTAAGCTGCTTATACCAGCTACTTCTAGTCTATATTACTTGTCAAGACAAGGAATTCCATCTGCCATCTAAGAAGAAATGAGGTGAATAGAAATTTACATCCCTGCTTTTAGATGTTTACATTGAAAAATTTAGAACAGTTCT